AGGACTGTGACCTGTCCCTGGTACTCTAGAGTCAGCCCTCCAAGGTTTTTTTCTTTTGATTCAGTTTTCTGGCAGCCTGGTTGGTGGTACTCCTTACTCAAGGTTCTTGCTCACCTGATTTCTTCTATATTGGTATTTGTTTTCTAGGTCTAGACTTTACAGTAGTACTGTCGAAGATCCATGTTACCTCTTTACTCAGATCTTACCAAGTAGGCTTTCAGATATCCCAGTTCACAGATTTACATGGCCACAGATGCCCCATGACCTGCCAGTTATCTGGTGCAACCATGTTACAAATACTGATCCCAACTGATCAATAGATAGCCATTGCCGTAGTACCAGTTTCAAGGACTTATCTTGTGTTTGCACTGCTCATTGCTGGTTTGCATTCCTCTGTGTAACTTTAGCATTGCACAGATTCCCGTATACATCAATGTAACATAGGTAGTTTTCCAAATTTTCGCCATCAGTGGGTTTTGAACTCCCAACCTACCACTTTGAGGGTTAACAACTTATCCACTTCACTAAGTTGTCACACCCTAATAATTAAATTATTAATTTCTTTACTACTAAAATATAATTTTAGTACTTATCTTATAAAGCAGAATTTTTTTTAATTATTACTACAATTCTAAGTTTTCTAAAACTAGTTAATAATATTTTTAGGAAACTGATATTTCTACACCTATAATGGATCCTGCCATACCCTATAGTCATATGACACTATTATATAATACTTTAATAATAATAATAAGCAATATACCAATAATATCATATGATCGATCTCAAATAAAAGTATACTTGTCATTCTGATTAGACTGATATTTGATTCTTAATTACAAAAATCCCCTAGTTAAACTGATGTCTAGGTATATTAGACAATTACTTTTGAAGGATATCAATATAACCAGAGTAATTTGTATTCGAATTTCATGTTACTATCATTCAAAACTCTTATTTTAGAATGCTTCTCTTTTTTCTTATTTTGCATTTATATATGTTACATATTACTAGCATGCTAATATACAATTACAAATATGGATAAATTACAAAATCACCTAACAAATATAAATGATAGTATATCTCAATTATTATTATATACAGATTCTATCGACTGTGCATTTGAAATTAAAAAAGAGACAGTGAATATAACTATTTTCTGTTATAAATTTAGTTAACGACACTAATATGACAAATACATAACTTAATTCTATATCTAATCTCTTTTCAAATTGGATCAAATAGTTTCAATAAGATCAACACTAGCATTAGTATTTGACAACTGTAAACTTGGTCAATATATTTATGAAATGCATGAATACACATTGTGGTCTTCAAATTATAGATTAATACTGTTGAATATTACAGAATAAAGAGAAAATTGGGTTATTAAAATTCTGATGTAAATAATTAGATAGTGGTCATTGATTATTTATTAAAATAATTTTAAACAATCCTTCTACAGATTCAATACTCCAATCCATTTTACAACCATATAATCGATTATGATAAAAGGTATATACAATTCTAAATAAAGTTCATATATATATACTACATTGACCTAGAGCATTATTTGAATAACTTATTTTAATAATACAATAATTGTAAATCCAAATAATTTACAATGCAAAAGAATTTTAAAAAGACATAAAAGTTCTCAATCTGTGTGTGATACATGAAATATTAGAGAATTCTCTATTAAACAAATCTATATCACTTGATTACTTTTATTTCTTGAATATGTAGCTATTCATAAATGCATGATATATATCATTATATGCATAATACATTTTTATCTGATTGTAAAACATAAAACATACATACTATATTCTTAATAATTGTATGTGTATAAGGCATATATTTAGCAAATTAAGTATCTCTATGCTAGATATTTGTTATGAACCCTTTGATACATGAATATATGATATATATTATAAAAGTATTTGCTTTTACTATTACTACTTTCAAAACAAGAACTCTACAAGCTGTAATTATTCTAAAATCAATAATAAGTTTCAATAAAAGTTATTATTATGAGTTGAGAGTATTTTTGAATTTTTACTTACTATATGGCTAGGACATGTCCTACTATTGTGGTCAACTGCTTTATATATACTGCACTTTCTGCTATTTATATTAGTTTCATTTAATTCAAATGCTGACAGATCTCTTCTGATAGAAGATTGAGACTTGTTCCCTGAACCAACTGGCTATCCTCTAGTATACTGCAATATTGGATCCAATAATGATGTAGATGATAGTCTAACTAATTTGGCCAGTTTATTTCGAGCAGTAGCTTGTTGAGGAGCTGACCAATAAGCATATTCATGAATAAATTTTTGTAGTAATAGTTGCAATAAGTTTCAAGTCTATTTGGCAAAGGTAATTGAGAATATTCAATATGCCAGTGTTGATGAATATCATCAAGGCCTATTATTTGATTTCTAGCAAGACACTCCTGAATAGTATGTGCACAAGGAAGGCCCATGAATGTACTAAATGTACTACTGCAAGATTCAAGTAGATTATCGGAAGTTGCACATATAGCTTTAAGGTATTGTTCATGTAATTTTTTTAATGCAAATATAGAAACTTTAGTGATTAACTTGGAGTAAAAAGGAATATTTTGTGTATGTAGAATGTGAACTTTGTCCTGAGCAGCCATTGCTTTGATTTCATTATATTGATGTTCTCTTAATAACAGAATTTTTTCATATACCACATGCAAGTCACCTGTTGAAACTTGCAAATATTTTTTTAATACTCCATGTGCACTTTCTATATGAGATGTTGTTGTATTACCTAAATGAAAATGATGGTCTGTCCATGCACTAACAAATTGTTCTTTGAATGGAAGCCATGTGTCTTGAATATAATAAATAGCTAACAAATTCTCATTATACTTAGAACATAATTCTGCCCATTGTATGTTAAAGTTTTCTTCTGTTTTTGATTTCATTATTCTAGACCAATGATGCAAAAATGCTTCCTATTTTTCACCAGTATGAAAATAACTTTTGCACTTAGATAAAATATTTTTTTCAATGTGCCATGTACAGAGAAGATTTTTTGAATTAGGAAATATTTGTTTAAGCGCATAAATAAGTGCCAATTCTCAATCAGTCATGATGACTTTAGGCTTCTCAATTTCATCAAATAAATGAGATAGACAGACAAGAGCCCATAGGTAATCATCTTCTTTTTCATCTTTAAGGAATATAAAACATATAAAAAATGTTGTATTAAAACATGTTACCCCAACAACATTAAGAAGGGGCATTTAAATTGGTTTGTTTTGTAAGTGCAATCCATTAACAAAACTGAAGAATATTTTCACATCAATTCAACTGATTTATGATGAGAGAAAAATAGATGTGTTATATGTCCATCACTATCACACTTGTAATCATATTCAAACTTCTCATCTTCAAGTTCCTCCAAAAGAGCCTGAATAGACATGTGGCTCTGCAAATTTTTTTGACGAACCTTCTTGCGAATATTATATATATCACGTAATGTGGTAGAAATTAAAGGATCGTTTTGCCAAAGAAAAGATAATATTTCTAAAAGGCGAATTCCAGCTTTTGTCATTTCATTCAGTCTTTCTTGTGCTTCCTTGCTTAGTTTTCAGAGTGATGGATGAGCGGATATATCTTCAGATGGTTCATGATTGTGTGTAAATTCATAGTAGATAAAATCCACATATTGTCATTTCTTTTAGTACCACAGATCATAAAAGGGCACCCTATTAGCCTAGAACTTGTTCTTTTTTACGTGTTTCATCTGTATGATTTAAACGATTTCTATATTCTTCTTCACGGTCACAACCTAAATATACCTTATTTTGCTTGGATCTTGCAATAGATATACTATAACCATTACGACCACAAAATAAATGCACATATTCAATCAGCAAATCATGACTTGAGAATTGACTGATAAAAGAATTAAGCATAGACATTATTTTTTTTTTTTTGGTGTTAAGGTGAGGCCTTGCTCATATCTTTATTAGTAATTTTAGTTGTACATATTAATA